ACCTTGTTATCTTTCAGTACACAGAAACTGATGCAGAAATGTTTTAGATTAATTCTCAATCCAATGAAAATGGGTTTTAATTTCATGTCTCATTATCAGGCAGGACCACATTGTTAAGTAATAACAATTATAATCATTGTAAGGGCTACCATAAAATGAGAGTTTACCATCTGCCCAACACTGTGCCAACTATTTTATAAGAATTATGGTATTTCATTCTCACACCATCTCTATCAGGTAAACGTCATCATCCCCATTTTACAGAGGGGGAAATGGAGGCTCAGGCACCTTACATTCTTTTCTAGGAATCCACGGCTCAGAAATCGCATCCACAGTCATTCAGCTAGAAGGAAGAAGGACTGGAGTCTGAAAGTAGGGCTTATATTCTTATAGTAAACTAACATCACTGCCACACCCCAGGGATCCTGGGCCACTTCACTAAAACCGACCCTGCCGTAGGCCGCAGTTTCTCTGGTGTGTGCACTTGCCACGGTTGTGCTGAAAACCCAGGCCATCCCCTCCTTCACTGTTCTACAGTCCTGTTCGGACTTGACCCCTCTCTCAGGCCCCCCGACTTCGGCCCTCAGGCGTCGGCCCACTGCAACTACAGAGCGGACTGCAAAGTCATCGTGTCCAATTAGACACAGCGGCTTCTCCCAGGACAGTCGGTGCCACTCCAAATGGCTTACGGTGGACCAGAACTCGATGGACCAGAACTCTGAACTTGTTTTAAATAAAGCAAGCTCTCCGGAATTCACTAGGTTCTCTCAGCTGCTTTAGTTTGTGACAATAGGGCAAACGTCAGCATGGATACTGCCTCCCCCATTCTGCCCATGTTTCGCTTTGTCACTTCTGTGGCTCCCTGTGTCCCTATATATATGGAGCACAAACTCTCAGCCCACCTCACGAAAGTGATTGCAATGACCCAGTGAGACAGTAAAAACATTGCGGGGGAGTAATGCCTACTGACACTAAGGTGTTAACACCTTGCCTTTTCCAAAGAGTACAGGTTATGGCAAATACTGGACACTGAAAAGGCCAAAGCACAGATCCCGAAACGCTCTCTGTTACATATATGAGGGTTTCCATTTAATTAAAGCGTTTCCAGGAAACACCTAGAGCCATTACCAAAGGCTCTAACTGGGCAGCCAATCGAAAAACTCCCCGTAGGCCTATGAATCAGTCTTTGGGAGAGATTTTTGTTTTGTTTATGAACATTTGGGTCCCACTGATGACTCAAGCACAACTTCCTTGGCATTAAAGTACCTGGAAACTGAGATTAATTGCCCAATTTTTAATTACATTTGGCCTCTGTGTACCCCGTGTTGTAAGTGCCCTCTCTATCATAGTACCGTGAGAACATTTCATCTGTTGTTGGCTATTCTGAAACAGCGCTGGTGTCTGAGCAGTTTATGGTCACTAAGATAAGGCGTTCTAGCTTTCTAAGAATCTAACACACACACTTTCTGTGCGGCTTTTTAAATGGCTTCAATAAGGAGAACCGCAGAAAAATACATTGACCTGAGTTTGTTGCCTGTTTACGAACCCTCTGCCTGTCCAGCTACCTCTGCCTCCGGAGGCGCCAGACCCCATTCTGAACAAGGACTCTCTCCCTTCCTGGAGTCTCTCGTTTTCTTCATTGTCTTCATCCAGAGAACAACAAAGACCTCATAAATGTCATTTCATATTCTGAGCAATTTGCTATAGGCAACTACACCATTACTTTGTACAAATAAATTTACATAAATCATTATTAGAATGCTTTATCTTAGCAGCATTATTTGGTTCCCAGAGCACAAATTAAATGCATGCTTAAAGCAGAATATTTTCAAGTTATTCCTATACGGTGTATGAGATAGAATTAGGAATTTCCATTTAATTTTTCTTTCCTGATGGAATTCCTTTAGTTTTCTTTGTACATTTAGAAACCACATATATAATTTTCTCTGGGGGGTGGGGTGGGGGGTGTTTCTTGAAGCAAGCAATGCAACAGATGAATCGGCCACATTTGGTTCATTTTCCAGAGACTGTTCCCTTTGATTCCATGGGTTTGGTTCTGAACACTGATCAGGAAGGCCAGGGACCAGGGAAATTAATACCAGCTTGGAGTGGATGGGTTTTTGTTTGATATTATTCTGCAAGCAAACACTGGTCTTTGGTTGTAGTTGGGCTTTTTTTTTAAACAAACAGATTTGTACATAAACTTCCTGAGAGCAGAGCTCGGGTTCTCCAGCTGTTTGTGTTGGGCCGGTGCCTGCTTGGACCCACTGCTCAGCACATGGCAAGTCTTCGCCGGCCAGACTTCCCTCCAGCCTCGATTTCAAAATACAGCCTTCTCTCCCTGTGTCCGTGCAGTGCCCAGTTTTAAAATAAGCTGCAAATGTCAACGTCAGGGGAGCGGGGAGGGACAGGGGCTGGCAGGCAGGCAGGAGACACGCTGGCCAGCCCTGGTCCTGGTCCTCGCTGGGTCTGGGGAGTCCCGTCGTGATCTTATATCTTGACTGCTTTTGGGGTCCTAAAGGGCTAAACTCACCACTCAGGACTGTGACGTTCTGGGAACAGATTCCAGTGTCGGGAAAGCGGGCCCCACGTGGTCAAGGGTTCAGTCCTCGAGAGGATGAGTGAGGCAGCCCGTGGGCGCTATGAGCACAGCATCCGACGGGCCTGGGTTCCGAGCAGAGTGCTGCCCCTGAGAGCTGTGGTCATGAACAAGTCAACCCTTTCTGCACCTGTTACCTCTCCTTCAGGTGAGGAGATGCCCTGTACCGACCTCACAGGTTTGGGGATTCAATGAAGTAATGAAGGCAACAACTGAGAACACCGTCTGATTCTTAGAAAAAGCTCAGTCAACAGTGGGTAACAATAATCTTGAAGGATGACCAGGGCAGTCCAGATGGGGTGGTCATATGATTTACTGTCTACCCCAGATGTGTCTGGGTGTGAAAGGGAGGACTGTATGATAATCATGTTGGGTCAACAAGGCAACGACAGGACGGTCACAGGGCGTGTGTGACTACTCCAGCCCATCATCATTCAAGACATGATTAAGAAATTAAGTAGCCTGTATCTTAGCTATTTTACAACTCATAATACCTTTTAAAGCTCTTTCATGTGTCCTATTTGCACCTCTAATAAACTATATGAAAAACTATAGGGCCGGCTCCTTCCCCGTAACGAGCAAACCAAGCGCAGGGAAAGCATGAGGTCCCCGCAGTGTCGCGGTGCTCCGGCGGCAGAGGGACCGCCAGCGTCCCTCCGCCCTGCCTACTTCCCAGGCTCTGGCGGGGAGACAGGGGCAGGTGGCTAATTCTGGCCAAGGGACTGTGGCTGTGGAATTGGCTGGGGTCATTTCTAGTCTATGGCACTTAAGAATGAGTGTGTGTTCTCAACTCTTTTTTTAGCCTCATTTTAAGGTGTAGATGTCACAAGATGGAGGCGGCTTGGAACCTCGAAACACTGGCTACAGGACAGCCACACTGGCGGCCCTGATCCAAGGCTCTGACTCCAGGAAGGCCCCAGCTCCTGGGGCAGTGGGACCCCAGCCGCAGGAGCCCCAGGTGGGGTGTGGCCAGGGCAGGCCGGACACCGAGAGCAGGCCTCGCAGGAAACGACTCTCAGTAGTACCTTCAAGACCCAGGGTAGGAAAGTCACCACTACTTTATCCTGGAAAGGAGCTGGGTGTGGGCAGGGTGTACTCGGCCATCCCCATGTTGATCAGGGCATTTGGTCCTCCGTCACTGACTGTGGCCCCGTATTCCGCCTGGAGACCCTCCCTGATTTCCAGCTTTCAGAACCCCAGACAGGCGCTCGGCACCAGCGTATACACTCCTGTTCTTGGCTTATGCTTCCTCCCCGTCAGTTCTTCTTCTCAGCCCAGAATAGCACCTCGTGAATCACCAGGGACTGACCTCACACAGTCCCTGGTTTGTCCCAGGGCCTTTTCAAAAGCCACACCTGCCAAGCAGAGCTGGGAGGGGAGGGGTGCAGGTGTGTAAGAGAAGAGTAAATAACCAGGTAGAGAGGCAGAGGCCGGGCAGACCCAAAGACGCAGAGAAGGCCAGCAAAGTGGCAGCCAAGCCAGGGCTGGGGTGACAATGACCACGGTCCTGAAGGAAGCTGCCCACCAAGGGCCCACTGGAACAGGCCAGGTGGGGGTTCCCCAGGGACACCTTAAGGGATCCAGGCTCTGAGGGGAGTGTGGCTCTGGCTGTGACAAAGAATCAGGGTCCTGGTCCAGGCGGCCAGGGCCCCCACTGCCTGGGCTCACGCGGGCTCAGTCCCCTCTTCCCACCCAGGGGCCATGCTGCTCCTCCTCCCTCCACCAGGGCTGGTGATCCCCGGGGACAGAGCCCAGCGGAGGCCCTCCCTCTCCTGTGAATTCTTCCCGAATTATTTCAATCCCAATCCTAAAGGTCTCTCAATTCCCTGAGCCAGAGAGCGACTGTCAGTGCCCAGCCCCAGCCCCATGTGGCACCACCACTGATGGGGTCCTGGGCTGCGGCTAAGCCGTGAGCTCCACGCGGAGTTCCACGTCTTGTATTACATTCTCCCCGTCTGTCCCGAGAACACATAACCAATACGCAGTAATACTTGGTGACCGCCATTAAAAGGTACCACATTAGAAAGATTAACTCGAGTAAAATGTGGGCTTATGGCAAAGAAAATGGCTTAGAGGAACTACAGTAGAACCTAGTCTCTGTACGAAACATTCCCAGCCATGTTCCTTTTGCTTTGTGTGTCTATACACGCACCCGAACTTCAGATGAAGATGTGAGTCAATGTTTTCATTATCTTAATGCCTAAATTGGATTGACCACATTGTCAGTCCGATCAGCTGCATAAATTGATCATTAAGAAGATTGGGAGGAAGAGGGGCGGATACCAATTGATGGAGAAACAATCGATTTGGCATTTGCATTCAAACACAGCTTTGGTAGGTCATTTATTCCGCGCAACCTACCGGAGGGGTAAGCAAGCTGGGGAAGGCAGGTCGTGGTTACCTGAGTCAGAATGGGTCCAGGAAACCGAGGTCAGCATTGCTCCAGTCACAGAAAGGACAAAGATGCCTCCATGATCACAACAGCTCCGGTCTTCCAGGAGACGATGTTTCCAGTGGCTGGTGGAGAGGAGCGGAAGGAAGACAGGGTTAGAGCAGAGGAGGAGAGAGGACCCTCTCAACCACAGTGGATGTCATCTCTGGCCAGACTCTACAAGACGTCACACTTCGGTGAAGAGTCAATTGCAACAGTAGCTCTTTATTGCTGGGGAAGTTACTGAAGCGCTGGGTCCTTCGTGATGTTCTTGAAACTACCTCCTGGGGCATAAAAGGACCCAGACATGTGAAAATACCTGCCACAGACCTTGTGAGACCGTCTTGTGTTACTACAACTGCTATTGAGACATTTGTGAGATCATTTTATTTTACTATATGTGTCGCTGAAACACTTGTCTACATAAAGGAAAAACATCACAGCACCTACAAGCATTCAAGGCCAGTGTTCCACCACATAGTCCACCATGTGTTCTACCATGTGGACCAGCCTCGATCCACTGGGTAGACCAGGTACACAGGCTGCAAACTCAATGACTCTCTATTCTGTTGTAAAATAAAATTACTCTGGCTCTGCTCCTGGGGAAAAAGATCCATTGAGCTAAAGCTCACTAAGTGGGCTGCAAGTTTTTAAGCCACAGTTAACCAATCATCTTGCAAAATAGGAAAGGTACATGAGATGGAGCACATCATAATTTGATGGAAAGTATTTTTTTGGCCTCCGCCTTAAGGAAGACAGATCAGTAGACTGTCCAATAAAAACAACGGTATACCCTATGAGCTTTAGTGGAGAATGTTAAGAAATACATTCATTAAATCAATGGTTCTCGCCTGGCCAGTGTGGCTCAGCAGACTGAGTGTCATCCCATGGACTGGTCAGGGCACATGCCCAGGTTGTGGGTTTGATCCCCAGAAGGGGCCGTGCAAGAGGCAGCTGATCGATATTTCTCTCTCACATCAATGTTTCTGTCTCTCTCTTCCTTTTTCTCTAAAAAAAAAAAAAAAAAAAAGCAATAAAAACATATTATTTTAAAAAATCAGTGGTTCTCAAATGATGGTCCCTGAAGTGGCATAAACATTACCTGTTGTTGGAAATGCAAACTGTTGGCCCCACCCAAGACCACCTGAGTCTGAACATTTGGAGGTGGGGTCCAGTGATGTGTTTTAAGAAGCCCTTCAAGTGATTCCAACACACTTTAGAGCTTTAATTTACCCACCCATCCAAAGACCTTTAATCTGTTGTTGTAAAACAAAATTATCCCTACTCTAACGCATGTTAAATTTCAATTAAGGGCAAAGTATTGAGCTGGGGATTGGAGGGAAAATAGATGGAAGGGTCAGAGAGAAGACAATGAAATCGCCACCTTTGAGAAATGTCTTGTCCGCTATGGGAGCTAAGACGTGTATGTAGGCAACTCAATATAGATGGTGTTATTTCCTGTAACAAACAGAGGTTTGCAGAGGAGACATTTGTTCCTGGTGGCGGTGGGGCAGGTAAAAGAACACATCAGGACAATCACAATACCAATGGGCCTTGACATTTGAACAGGATTTTGAGTGGGAGGACCAAGCAAAGGCCCAGAGTTGAGAAAGCATGAAGACTATTCAGATACATGGAGTAGCCAAGTCTGGCTGATATCAGACATACTTGAAGGTGATCCATGTGAGACAAGGTTACTTTCAAGTACAGACAGGTAACTGCTAGGGGCCTGTGAAAACCATCCAGCAGCATCTGTTGTTTCTGTTTAGAAATTGACATCTAATAAACTAGGGGACTCTAAAATTTCTTTCTTTTTTTTTTTTTTTTTATCCTCACCCGAGGACATTCTTCCATTTTTTTGTTCAGGTAGAGTGGGAGGGAGAGAGAGGAAGAGAGAGAGAGAGAAACATCGACATGAAAGGGACACATCGAGTGGCTGCCACCGGCACAACCTAACCAGGGCCGGGGACAAACTGCAACCGAGGTACATGCCCTTAGCGGGAACTGAACCCGGGTCTCTCCGGACCGCAGACCAACGCTCTAACCGCTGAGCCAAACCGGCCAGGGCGGGGACTCTATTTCTAAACCCAGTTTGCTTTTCCGTAATTTTGTACTGCATTTTCTAGAGGGGAGCATGCTCAAAGGATTAACTGCAGAAGGCTTGCCCAGGAGGAACACACATTTTAAAGTAAGCACAAGACTTTGGATCTCACAGTAGCCTCAGGAACATTCTGCAAAGGGACAGGATCTCACCACACCTAAAAAGCCCCTGAGGACATGTAGGGTTTTAGCTTTATAAAACAACTCAAGGGAATACTGGTATACCTTAGTCACAGGAGAAAGTTAAAGGGTTGGGAAGGAGGAATGGATGAAGGTAGTCGAAAGGTACAGACTTCCAGTTATAAATAAGGCATGGGGAGATAATGCACAGCGTGATGACTAGGGTTAAGAATACTCCGTTGCCTACTTGAATGTTGCCGAGAGGGTAGATCGTAAAAGTTCTCAGCACACGCAAAAATATTGTTGTAACTATGTAAGATGACAAATGCTCACTAGACTTATTGTGATCATTTTGCAATATATACAAATATCAGTTCATTATGTCATACATCAGAAACATGTTATATATGTCAATTATACTTCAATTTTTAAAAAATTGAAATCACGTTTAGAAAAAAGTTAAACTGATACTCAGGATCTCCAAGTAGAGAAAAATAATTTTCATGATCAAGAATGTATAACTTTCGCCCTGACTGCTTTTGCTCAGTGGTTAGAGCATCAGCCCGTGGATCAATGTGTCTCAGGTTCAATCCCCGGTCTCGGTCAGGGTTGTGTGGGAGGCAACCAATTGATGTGTCTCTCTCACATCGATGTTTCTTTCTCTCTCTCTCCATCCCTCCATCCCACTCTACCTAAAAATCTATGGAAAAAATATCCTTGGGTGAGGATTAACTAAAAACAGAACATATGGCTTTAGCTTCCAGAAAACTGACATAAATAGAATGCTTTATTTCCTGATGCTGCCAGATGAATGACAGGATACTGACAATGTGTGTGATGCCCCACAAGGCTCTGATAGAAACGAACTGGATTCCGTATGGTGATACCTGCGTGCTCACCCCAGCTCTGCCGTTTGGCCATCGAGTCATTATGGGCAAGGCACTCAACCCCTTAAACCTCAGTTTTCATCAATCAAGAAACAGAGGCACTGGCTTGCCCCAACTTCTTTGAAATTTAAATAAGAAAACAGACATGAAGTTGCAACATTGCACCAAGGTATAGAATGATCCTACTCATTGAGACCTTTGGGTACTAATTAATACTTGTTACTGTGTTAGCCTTTGAAAATATAAATGTAAAATGTTTCTTATGCCCTCGAGACTCCTTTTAAATATTTGCAGATACAGCACTTCTAAGGAACAAACTTGGCATCGACCAAAGCACTCTCCCATGAAACATTTCACGGTGAATTTTTTACTTGTGATTTTTTTTTTTTTTTTAATTTCATTCCTCTGACCACGACAGAGCATCCAGCATCCTTCAGCAGTGCCTGGGGAGCACAGCTCAGTCCTCAGCAACACAGACACATACGATGGCGATAATTTATCATCTCTGCAGTAGTTTCGTCCCAGATGGACCATTTACTAATTTATTTCCATATGTAACTGGCAGAGAGATTAATCAGGCTTCCAACTTGGAAACCTGAATTGAGCTCTGTTTCCTTAACAGGCTAACTCTGGAGAAGAGGAAGTACACAATTATACAGAAAACCTAGTGTTCCCCTAAAAAAACCTGTCTACCTCAGACGCAGGCGTTCACACACACACACACACACACACACACACACACACACAGAGCTTGCTCCTCCTGTCAACAACTCGGAGGGCTGGTTCCTTCTTTAGATACTCATGGGCTCCCCACAGGAGCTCGTGGGCACCCGTACACCCAGAAACGTGACGCCAAATCAGGTCCGCTGCAGCCACACTCTCCTCCCTCCGTGCAAGCTCGGGGCTCGTATTTCGGAGACGGAGGGGCTCTTTGCCCGGCGCTGCACCCAGCTGGCCCAGCTGCGCGGTGCCCGGGCTCTGGAAAGTATGTGCTTTCTTTTTTCCAGTCTTTTTAAGGGTCTGAACTTGACTGAATTCAGCAACTGCCATGACCTCGGCGAGGCGACGGCTGATGAACTTAGCTGTCCCCCCGAGTTCAACTCTCAGTCCACTTCTGTTTTTGATTCTACGCCAGGGGTATCAGTTTTTAGCAAAGAGTGCTAATAGGATTGTTGTCACAGGACAGTGTTTACATACAGAAAAACAGCCAATCCCAGCACAGGGCCGAAAGCACAAGATGACTGTGGTGTCTTCAGTGGAACCCAAGGCCTTGGTAAGGAAGGCTCAGTAGACAAGACCATGTATGTGTGTGTGTGTGTGTGTGTGTATTTATTCCTCACCCAAGGATATTTTTCTATTTATCATTAGATAGAGGGAGAGATACAGAGACAGAGAGAAACATCGATGTGACAGAGACACACTGACTGGTTGCTTCCTACATGACCCCGACCAGGGCCAGGGATGACAAACCAAGGTATGTGCCCTTGACCTGAATCGAACCCACAACTCATTGGTCCGCAGGCCAATTCTCTAACCACTGAGCCAAACCGACCAGGGCAAGATATTTTTTTAAAATAAGTCCTCACCCAAAGATATGTTTTTCTTGAAAAAAATTTTTAAGAGAGAGAGTGGAAGAGGGGGATGGAAAGACAGAGCGAGAGAGGGAGAGAGAGAAACATGGATGTGCGAGAGAAACACTGATTGGTTGCCTCTTGCACACTCCCTGACCAGGGATCAAATCCACAACCGGATGTGCTCAGACCGGGAATCGAACCTGCAACCTTTTGGTGTATAGGACGACGCTCCAACCAACTGAGCCACACCGGCCAGGGCAGGACCATGTGGAGATATTGGCTACACCCACACACACGGGTTGCTAACCAACCTGTGGCTTTAGAAAAGTCACTCAGCTCAGGTTCACAAGTCTCTCTTCTGTAGTATGAGGAGTTTAGCTCTACCGGGTTCCTTCTGGTGCTAAA